TTCCCCCCACTCATGCTCTCCCTCTCTCTCTCTCTCTCTCTCTCTCTCTCTCTCAAATAAATAAAATCTTAGAAAAAATTATTGAACAAAAGAAGCCAGATACAAGAGTGCATGCTGGTTGATTCCACTTACATGAGTTTCCAGAGCAGGCGAAACTACACATCTATCTGTCTATGGTGACGGAAGTCAAACCAGTGGTTGTCTTGGGTGAAAGGGGCACAGATATTGACTAGAGAAGGGCTGGTAGGCGGGGAGACTTGGTGGTGTGGTTAGATGACAGAAGAGTATCAGGGAAATATGAGGTGATTCAATCCCCACCAGCACTACATCATGAATTTAGAGTAATGCCAGCAGCATAGTTGTGGTTACCCAAGTTCCGTTGGATGTGCACAGGAGACAGAGGACTGGATTGAACCAGGTACCTGGTTTTGCTAAGTGAGTAAGATGAAGGGAGATGGGCCAATCAATTCCTAATCCCACCAGAACAAAAGGACTTTCCTTTTGCTTCCTACAGAGAAAGCAACATCCCCAAATATGTATGAAACACAAATCACCAAAAGTGCAAAGTAGACCCCAAATGATCCTCTGTCCCAGTTCTTCTAGTCAGCTCTATCCAACTCCAGGGGCTCACCCAGGGACCTGCTGGGCTTTTTGAGCAACTCTGTCTGTGGTTATTCTTCCACGCACAGGGCCTCCTTGAAGATGCCTTATCAGCTCATGAAAAGCACCTCCTACCCCACCTGCAGAATACAGCACCAGCAGATGAGACTCAATCCCAGGGCCATTCCACGGCAGACTGCAGTCCAAACAGCAGTGTCTCAGGTATAATCAGATTTCCCAGAACGTGGTACCAGCAGTTCCCCCCTGACCACTGGAGGTGGGCAGCCAAGAGAAAGGCAGAAAAAGTGGAAGGGGGAGGAGGAGAAAAGTGTAAAGGAGAATAAAATTCTAGGGGTTCAGCATCTTCATGGAGTTGGCCCACCCAGACCCTTCCTCCTAAGACTAATGGAAGACAAACGGACTTTCCCATTCATCTATTTTAGGAACTTCTTTTTTTTTTAAGATTTTTATTTATTTATTTGACAGAGAGAGACAGACAGACAGACACAGAGAGAGCACAAGCAGGGGGAGCAGCAGAGGGAGAGGGGAAGCAGGCTCCCTGCTGAGCAGGGAGCCCGATGCAGGGCTCGATCCCAGGACCCCAGGACCATGACCTGAGCCGAAGGCAGCCGCTTAACAACTGAGCCACCCAGGCGCCCCTATTTTATGAACTTCTTAACGGGGATCAGTCACCCCAGACTTGAACAGAACTTGTTAGCTCTCAGCCTCCTAGAAGAGTCTGGGCCTGGATCCCTTGCTTCGGCCCTGCTGCTGAGACCAACCGGCCCTCTTCTTTGGATACTTCCCTCCTTGGCAGGCAGCGAGTCTACGCTCCTAGCAAGGAGGTGCCTCAAGATTTCCGAGCCCTAGTCTTTTTGCCAGCTCACGGCTTGGTTCCTGGCTTTGGCCAGGAATGTATCATGAATTGTTCCCAAGGGCACTTTGCCAGTTCAAATTCCTGCTCCGAGTCTCCATGACTGGCTATGTGATATATGTATAGTATCTGCCTATTATTAAGGTATATGCTGTCCCTGCATACACTGGGGAGCAGGTGCCTGGGGAGAGAAGGTCTTCCAGAGTCTCCCAGTGAAGCCAAAACTTGCAGTAGCTACAGGCCTGATTTAGTGCCCTGCCAAACATGGCACTGAGCCTGGGACCTCAGAGGAGACGGAAGAGGCAGCCCTTAGGTGTTCCACCTTAGTTTTATGATTGGATTTGCCAGTTTAGGTCCTTGGATCCTGGTTACTCATTCTACCTGTAACCTACCAGGCTTCATGGCCAGTGGGAGAGTAGTGGTTCTCTGGAGGGAGTAGGGTGGGAAGGATGAAGACCAGAGTAGTATCTGAAGAAGCTCAGGGCCTTTCAACTGGTCCTAGCACCAGGCACCAATGAGCTGGGTGGGCAGATGGGCAACTGCAGGAGGATAGGGCATCCTGGAGTTGGCTCTGCTTTTGCCTCTTGTGCCCTCTTCGCACCCTTGGAAGGACGGCTCCAGTGGGACAGACCTGACTTTCTCATGAACAGCCAGTCTGTGGTCTAGAGACATTCAGAGCCCAGGTCTGAATCTGGCCTGTGGAAGATGCTAGACCCACAGGCCTAGTCTCAGCCAGGCTGACCCCAAACTCACAGCCACGGTAGCCTTAGTTATTATGCTGTGTTCAGAAATATACTTGGTCACACTTCTTTCTGGCTCTAAGCTTCCCTCTCCAAAGCACCCTTTGGGGCTATTGCTTGACATCGGTAGTAATGGAAATATTTCAATCCAGTGATCACATTTATAGACCACTCTGAATACAGTGGTCTAACCTAAATCTCAGCTTATCAAAAAGTGGTCCGGGTCAGGGCAGCCTTATTCATTCACTCTACTCTGATGTACCAGGAGGGATTCAAGAGAGGAAAAACACCTAGTATCTGCCTCCAGGACCTAACCACAGAGCAAAGAGATGGACATGCCAACAGAGCGGTAGGATGAAGAGTAACGGGAGATGCTTGGCATGCGACCATTTGTCACACATGGCTTCCACTCTTCAAGAGTGATGCCGACGGTCCATGACAAGTACTATGAGGCCCAATGCAAGGGCAGTGTAGGAGAGCATCTGCAGATGAGCCCCAGTGGCAGTGATGGCCAATGGGAATGCTGTTGGCATTTTGGGTGGGATAACTGTTGTGTGGGACTGTCCGGTGCTTTGCATTCTCAGCTTTCATCACTGACAGCCCATAGTATCTCCCAGTCACTGTGACTACCGGTCCCAGGTCCCAGGGGTGGGAGGGTCAGACTGCCCAGGTCACCACTGCCCTCGGGAATCTAAACACCACGGGTCTGTGGATCAAGGCAACTGTGAATTCTTGGCTCCTAGCTACTCAATCATTCATTCTGGTGAAATGGGGGAGGGGGGTGGGGGGGAAAGGGGCAGGAGTAGAGGGCAGCACCAGGGCTCTTGTTGCAAGCCCAAACCCACCTGGAGTGCATATCTGTGGTTTTTAGCTGCTTTGCATCTCTTCCTATTTCGTTCGGTAACAGGGTTATCAAAAGCACCGTTTGGCCTCTTCTCTGCTCCCAGTCCTCAGACTGTCCGTGTAGTTGACCCTCAATTCCAAAGGTGGCTCTAGCCTAGCCAGCGTTCCCCTGGGTAGAACATGGGTTCCAGGAGGGACACAGGACCCAGTGAGAGGTTGATCAGAGCCCTTTGCTGCTGGGAAGCAGACCACCTTCTCTGCCAGATTTGACCTTCAGAGACCGGGGCGGGGGTTGTTGTTGCTGCTGTGGTCATTTGGCCCCCTTGTGGGAAGAGCCTGCCTGAGGATGGAGGTGCCTCAAGACCTCTGAGTCCCTGCAAAAGCCGATAGAAACGGGTTTGGGGGCCTGACCTGAGCCCCCTGGAACAAGCCGCATCTGAGCTGGAATTCTCTCTCAACTTTTATAGGAGTCAATACAACCCCATTTTGTTCAGGCCAGTTTGGGTTAGGTTGTCTGACATTTACGAAAAGGGACCAATGATGAGGCCAGGGAAAGGAGTTAAGTATCTTCAGTCGGAGTAGCCAGGCTGAGCAGAGGCAGAAGCCATGGGCCCCAGGCCTCTCCACCCTGTCTCTGGCCCCTCTCGTCCTGACCCGCAGGAAAGGACGGCAACATGACCCTCCCCCATCCCAGAAGTCTGCATTCTTCCTGGGGAGGCTGCTTCCCAGGAGAGGTGTGTTTTTCAGCTTGGGGTACCCTCTCCCCACCTACCAGTGCCTGCTGAGGAAAGGAAATCCTGGGATTGGGAGGTGGTGAGTGGGCTGCGGGCTTCCTGGGAACTGGCCTAGCCCACCTTGCGCTATTCCACCTACGCCATTGTAGGCAGGCCAGCTCCCTGCCTCTCCAAGGGCTGTCCTGATGGCTCCCAGCCTGAACAGCTCTTAGAAGGGCAGCAGATCCCTTGGGCATGGCTCTGTGCACTCGCTTGAGTTCAGAACTGTCCTCCTCCCCATTAACCGCCCCCATGAACCGGATCCCCTGGCCATGACGGAGGGCTTCAGTGCATTCTGGACTCCCAATCATAGCTATCTACATTTCTTGGCCCGGGAGCGTCATCTCTGGAGTGGACAGAAGTCCCGGAAGGGGGGTGGGTGGGGGTGGGGAGGTGGAATTAACCACCTCCCTTCAGGCAGCCCTTAACTGAGGACCAACAGGGTGGGTATATAAACATCCAGCTTTCCCACCTCTGCCAGAATCACTCTGGGTTAGATGGTCTGTTTCCCCCGGGGCTGCCCCAGCTGATCTAAGCTTCAGTTGTCCCCAGTGGCCACTGTCCTTGAATTGACTGTCGTCTCTTCCCTGTTTCATACCCCTCTCCCCTCCTGGTGTTTCCTGGGATCCCTCTGAACTAAGACCTCTGCCTCAGCTGCTCAAGACCCACCAGGCTCCGGCTGGGTGCAGCAAAGTCACGGGACAGACCACAAGGCGGCAAGTCGCGCCTTGCCCTGCCCTGCACCTCTCCCATCACAGGTGAGGATAAATGAAGCCATTTCCCAGAGACAGAGTGTTCCCGGGCATGGAGCCCCTGTTCCCCAAGGTGCAGGCCTGGAAGGGGGGCAGTGCATTCCTCCTGTTCCCGCTAACGGGGATTACCACTGGCCAGAAGTGCAGTTGACTGGTTATGTTAGGTATTGAATCGAGTTGTGTAATTCTTGCTTTTAGAGTGGGAAAATCAGAAGCAGTTTGTTCTGTGAGTATGTGCAGAGAAAGTTGCCCCCCCTTGGATCTGTGGTCCCCAACAAGAACAGGAGGACCCTCCCCTCATTTGCCTGGGGCTCTACAAACTCATCCCACACTTCTCTCCCAACCCATTTGCCAAGTCCAGCTTTGTTTCTCTGGGTAAAACACACTCATGAAACAGAATTCTTTTTTTTTTTTTTTTCCGTTCTATTTTGGTGACAAGAGAGATCCTTGATGGAAACTGGATCTGTAAGAAAAATAAGGACAGAGCCATTAGCTTAGACAACATTCCACGACCTTGGAATTTTGGTGGCTTTCCAGTTTTACAACCCCGTGGGTGAGGAGGTTTCAGCTGTTAAGATCCTCTTGTGGAAAAATAAATTATTTAGGATTCAAATTTCTTCCATTCTCTTGTCCACCCTCCTTTTCATCCAAACACAGCCACTTGGAGCCTGGTGTTTCCCTTCAGGCTGTAACGCGCTTATGCAAAGTGCCTGGCTCATACTTGGCTCCGTCAACATTGGTGCCTTCTTTTCTCTCTCCTTCTCCCAGGGTCCTCAGCAGCTGCAGTGGAGACTCGCTCCCCCAAAACGGGGCCGTGGCAGTGAATTTTACTGTGCTCACTGCTCAAAAGGAGAGGGGAAGCAGCCCCTTGCTTTGAGTGCCTTCTCATTCCCGGTGGGATGCTAAGAGACGGGCTTACCAAGCTTTAAGAAAGATTCTAGAAACACCTTTTCCCAGAGAGGAGGCTCTGCCACTGCCATTAGATGTTCTTTAGTCTCTGGACTGAGAAGGACACCAAACTATTTCCCTTGCACGGGGTCGAATGGCTGAGCCTTTGGAACTCAGGATGACCCAGCGCACCTCCCCCTCGCACGCACGCACACACTAACTTTCACATACCCTCAGGGGGCCTTCTGTGGTTCAAGCGCTTGTCCAAGCCAACACGCCCGGACATTGGAGTTCATCTGGCACTCGGCTACTGTAGAACCTTCTACAAACACTCCGGTCTCTTGTAGTGGGTGATGCTGGCCAGGGTCCCACCTGGTTTGGATGTTCTACTTCTTTGCCCGGCAAAGGGAAGCAACCCCAGCCCCAGACCTGGGGTAGAATATAGGGAGAGCTCTGGATTGGGCTAATCCAGTCATGATAATTTAACTCCCTATGCTATTAATTTGTCAAAGAGGCATGAGACCCAATTCAGGGGCATGTCACCCCAATTAGAGGGCAAGTATGCCAGGGGCAGGGGCTTCTGGGAAAAACGTCTTAAGAAGAGACATAAGGAGGAGGTGGCCTTTTCCCTGCTTCTGACGGTCAGGTATGAGGACGGCATTCTGGGAGCTCTTCCAGCTATCTGCCCATGAGGGGAACCTGCCCCTCCTCTGCTGAGGGGTGTCAGGGCTGAAAGCTGGGTAAGTCCCCAGGTCCCTGCTGACCCTGTTGAGTTAGCCATCCCTGCTGCTTCCCAAGTGTTCCCTGAGATGATCTCCCTATTACAATTTTGAATTAGGTTTTCTGAAATTTGTAGCACCAAAAAATCTAACCCACATTCCACTTATCAAACCAAGTCTTAAAATGCCTCATGGCATTTGGAAACCTACCAATTCACACTTTCAATTGTACAGCTGACTGAAGAGGTGAGAAGTCAGAAGGGAACACTTTCCTGTTTTACCAAGCACCTTAACTGTTTAGAGGTAGGTACGTTTCATTCAGCTGCCGAGCTACGGCATTCTTCTCATGAGGCAGTGAAAGCTTTTTGCACCAAAAGGATCGGCATTGAGGGCGATGGTTGAAAATGCAGGACGCGTAGGAAGGGCTAGAGTCCAGAAGCACCTGGGTCAGCCCATCCAGCCAAGAGGGGAAGAGGCCGTGAACCTGGGTGCTGGGGCGGGCCCCTGCCCGCCCTCCGCCGTCCACTTTACACGTGGGGGTGGGTCCTAGTACCAGGATAGGGAAGCACACGTCTGTCTGTCCACACTCCGTGAGGAACACAAGAACAAACAGAAATGTAGTGGCAGGATCCTTATGACCCCAGGTCTCAGCCCTGCTCACCAGCCCCTTCCGCCGAGATTCTTGTCTCTTGGCTGCCTTTCCCTACCTGTGGACACCACATGTTGACCGGAACCTACCTGTGCTGCCTTTCCCTACCTGTGGACACCACATGTTGACCTGAACCTACCTGTGCTGCCTTTCCCTACCTGTGGACACCACATGTTGACCTGAACCTACCTGCTCTCCCTATCTCTGAGAACTTAATGGGACCCTGCATGCTTGCCTAGACCCAGAGCAGACCCACAGCAGGTGTCTTCTCCATTGGCACCTTCCTTAACTACCAGCCTTCTAAATGACATCTTCCTGGCCTTGGTTCCTGGTTCTTGGCTCTATTTATGTCTTCTTCCTGAGTCATCTTGGCCACTGCCTGTGGCTGTAAATCCCAGCTCTTACCAATCACTCCCACCGGCTTTTCTGGTGACTTCCATGCAGCCATCTGCCTCCGTGACACGTCCATTTTGTAGTCCAACATCTCAATAATAACAACAGAACAGAACTCTTGATTTCCGTCCCCTCCTGTGCCTGATACCTCTGGCAATGGCACCCCAAGGAGCCATCCTTGAGGCTTCCCTTTCCCTCATCGCTTCATCCCATCTCTCAGCAAGACTTGCTGGTTCCGGCCCCGTAATGTCCCCTCCACGGCTCTCCCCGTGGTCCAAGCACCATCTTTGCCTGTGCAGATGATCCCCACCTGGTCCTCCTCCCCCTTCCCCATCCTCTAGCCCACAGGCACTGGGATTGTTTTGAGATCTTTGAAATCAAAACCAGCAACTTGAGAGACATCTAGAACATGAAGTCCTCAAGGCCCTGCCTGACCTTGGTCTCCCCTGCAATGCCATCCTGACCGCCAGAGCTCCAGCCATATTGACTTCTTCTCTGGTCCCCAGACATGTTAGGTTCCTTCCTGCCTAATGATTGGATGGGTTCTTCTGTCTGTAAGAACGCTCCTCCCCCAGCTTTGCATCGTCTGGCTCCTTCTGCCCTATGCATCTCAGTTCAGAGAGGCTGTCACAGACCAGCCTATCGCCAGCAGCATCCCCTCCTGCTCACCTGCCCTTCTCTGCTCTTTATCAGATCAACCTTATTGCTTGATTTCCTTGATAACACTTGCCACCAAATCAAGGCATCTTGTTTATTCATTAACTTGTCCATTGTCTGTCTGTGCCCACTGGAATGCAGGCTCCCTGGAGGGGGAATGGATCTTTTGTCTGTCTTGGTTTACTCCTATAGCACAGCGTAGGTACCCAAGACATATTTAATGAATGAATGCATTATTTAATTAATGAACACTCTTTTTCCTCATCTGGACTCTGCCCTCTAGCTTGGATGTCAGATAAGCATTTCTGTCTCCAGGGGAATTATTATCCCCTGCCCCCTTTGCCTGGGAATCCACAGACTTTACCAGACTTCTGAGTCCCAAGCCTTGCCTTGGCCTGTTGGTGGACTTGGCCATCCGTGTCGCACTGTGTCTTCATGTCTCACGGTCCCCAGTGTGGTGCTGGGCACATGGTCAGTACTGACATGGGACAGCTGTGTTGGCCCACTTGCCTGTTTACAGGGGTTAGTGCGGGGGGAGGGGGTGACCGTGGGGAGTCAGGGTGGGACACACTGTGACTGCAACTTCTAGGCTTCTAGAAAGTCCTCTCCTGACCCCTTGTGGTGGTACCATAATCAGACCCCAGACTCCTAGTGTCCACTGAACGATGGGGTTAGGATACTGGAGCGCAGGCTCTGGCAGAAGCAAGTCTGAAAGAAGCCAGGCCTTGCTCAGGTCAGTTAAAGCACATTTCAAGTGCCCCAGTGCCAATGAGCATTCCAACCCAGTGCTGGAACAGCAGTTTGGCAAAAGCAGTGGGTGACCGGGGGGAAAGGCCACCTCATCAGAGTCGCTAGGCATGGGCTCTGGGAGCCTGGGAAGGAGCCTGTCTCAGGCCACTCAGGGTGGGTGGCACAGTCTCCCTCTCCCTCAAGGGAGATCGGAGTGGTGACGGACAGCTCCGGGTGGAGAGAGGAAGTCCATCCCTGCGAGGACCAGCCTGTCAGGTGGGAGTTCTGTCCCTGGGCTGGTTGTATCTGGCCCCGAGAAAGCGGCACCCCAGCCCTGCATCCGGGCAAGGGGCCCACCCTAAGAAGACATAAGGAGTCACTCCTCAGAGCGGAAGAAAGAGGTGAGTTGTGTGAAATTCATGCACGGTTTCACTCTCAGTGCCAGGGGAGTGAGCTACTCCAGGCCCTGGATGGGGTTCTATTCTACTCCCTTCCTCCCGTTTTCCCCCTCTCCACCCCCTCCACTCCCCCTCCTTGCTGTCAACCATCTCCCTCTTCCCCTCCCTGGGCCCCTCCATGCAGGGCTCAGCACCGTGTGAACTAATGAGGTGCTTCAGGTAGCACCCGACAACACATTAAATAACTGACATCCCTGCCATTCATCTTTCAACCCCGGTTAAAGCAGAAGACAACGTCACAGCGTGGAGCTGCCTGTCTTAACGTCCAACGGGTGTCCTTGGAACACACAGGGCACCGACTTCAAAGCTGAGCCTTTCTCAGGCATCCTCATCAGCTAGAATTCCACGACATTTTGGATTTCTATCTACTGTGAGTCTTTTTATGGCAAGCGATAGGATTTTCCATTTATGGCCAGACTCAAATTTCCCTTGAAAATAAATGCATTTAAGTTAAAAAGAAAGCTAATTTTAAAAGGAGTAAGGATAGTGCGGGTGTCAAATTCGGCCGAGTTTGGGGAACACTGAGTTAAGAAGCGATGTTGATGATGCTGATGGGGGAGCGGCTGTGTTGAATGCCTCATCTGTGCCCGGCTCTGTGCTAAGTGTTTGACATGCGTACTTTTCACCCACTCCCCCCAGCTACCCAGTGAGAGGTGTACTGTTAGTACCCCATCTAACAAGAAGATGGCAGGAGTTAAAGAATTTGCTCCAGGCCCTAGAGCTACTGGATGTGGGAGGGGATCTGACCTCAAGCTTGCCTGCCGCCAGGGGCAGAACCCAAGGGAGCACCATGGCCCCTCTTGTAAGGAGCCTCTAGGACAAAACGCTTTAGCTCAGGGGCATTCTTCAGACTGCCCATCACCACCATCTACCCAACCCCTGTGACCCGGCCTGGCGTGTCTGAACATCCTCTCATTTAATCCTCAAAACCATCGCCCCCCCCCCCCCCAGGAGATAGTTACTATTCGTCCTTCTTTAGCAACGACATGCCTCTCAACAGAGAGTTAAGTGATGCATCCCCTAAGACCCAGCTCCCAGGTAGCAGAGCCAAGACCGGAACCTACAGCCCCGACCCCCAAAGCCTGCATCTTTCTGACCACTCCCACGATGGTAATAGTAACAAGACCGGCCAACTGGCCAACCCTGTCCTCGGAGCACCTTATCTCATACTCCAACAATCTCAAGACAGGTCCCATGATCTTCCCTATTTACAGACGGGGAAACCGAGGCTCTCAGCTGCTGTGGTATTACATGAGGCTTAGGTGCTTTCATTCCTCCCCGGAAGTCCCTTGATCAGGCAGCAGAGCCCCTGAGTGGCTGCTGAGTTTACTTTTTGGGTTGGGCTTCTGAGATGCTTCGAGCACGTGCCCTACTGTGGCCATTCCTTGTCCATTCCCGTGGCTGGTGGAGGTCTGGGCGTGGGTTGAAAAGCTGCATTACCAGCTGACCACCCCCCATTATTAGGCATTCACTGCCAGTGGACTTGACAATGGGGACAACTGTGGGTGCTCTTGGTGCCCACCCAGATCCTCTTTCTGGGCTGGTGCATCCATTCCCCGGCTCCTGTGAATTGTGAATGTTGGCTGCTAACAGTTCAAAACTGCCTCCTTCCCCAGGAACTTGTTCTCAGGGGAGGACAAACGGGACCCGCTTTTCCACAAAGATATACACTCCCCACCCCCAGCCCTACTGCCAATGCCTCAGTGATGGAGGAGCACAGGTGAGACCAGCTCTGTGGTGTAATTCACACACCAGAGCTCCCCTGGGATCAGGCTGAGGCTGGACTCCAGCTGAGACCTCCCCCTTGCTCTACTCCTTCCTCTGTCCTCTCTTACCTCCCTCACTCCCATTTTCCCTCATAAATCCTGTGCACCCAAATCCCTGTCTCAGGCTCTGCCCCCAGGAGCCGGGCTTGAGACAGGGGAGGCTGGAGATGCTCCCTGCCCTCAAGGATCGTGCACTATAGTTGCAGAGACAGGCCACATAGGTACCAAAAAATCATCCCCAATTCAGGATGGAATAGGCTGGAGAAAACAGTGTTAAAAAGAGGGGAGAAATCACTGGAACTGTAGTGGGGGAAGAGCTTATGGAAGAAATGGGTGGGACCAGGCCATGACAGATAAGCAGCACTTCAGAAGGGATAGTTCACTTGACAGGGAGAAAGTTCCAAGGGAAGTCCCGAAGAGGGACGGGAACCTCTGTTCCCCCTCTCCGGCTTCTTCCTGCCTGGGATCTGTGACTAGGGAACCCCCCGCAGTGGGGGTTGGGGGTGCTGTGATTTGACAATCCCAATAGTGGGTCTAGCATCGTCCAAGAGTGTCAGGGCTGCTTGAGAGGGCCGGGCCAGTGGACCCTGAGGTCAGGAAGTCACTCGGTTCTTAAGCTTTCCCTGAGAGGCTGGGGCTTGGTCCACCCATAAATTCCTCCTTTATTCTGAGAAGGGACAGACACTCCCTCAGCCCTGCGCTGCGGGCACGGTGACCCAGTGGGCTTGAGGGTTACCTCTGCCAGGCGGTGAAGGCACAAAGGGGGTCCACGTACCTGCCGGACCGCGGGCCTGGGGGTTTGCTCACAAGGATTCAATGGTGTAATAGGCAGCTCCCAGGGCCCCCAGAGCCACAGCAGCAGTCCCGAGAGCTTGGAGCACGTGAATTACGGTGAGTGGAGTGTTTCCTTGTAGGTTTTCTGTAGAGCAAAGCAGAAAGCCCACAGGTTGGGGGAAGCTGGACTCCAGTGCCTGTCTACAGACAGGGGAAGCAGAAATGGTAGGGTCCCCTCAGGATGTCGGGAACGCCCATTTCCCCGCTACTGATGTTCCTCTCAAGGGAATCCAGCTCTGCCCACCCCACCCAGTGAATCCCTGCCATGGGACCCCTGACTCTGAGGATGGGCAAGCCCGGGATGCCAGCTCCCTGGGACACTCAGGGAGCAGGGTATGAAGGCGGTTAAGGCCGCGGTATGCCCCGCCCCATGTTAGACATCTCACACCCAGGGTCTTCCTCCAGCCTTACAACAACCCTGTGAAGTAGGTTCTATCATGTGGCTCTGTTTTGGAGAAGAAGAATCTGGGGAAGCCACACGTGATGCCCGCCACGCGGGCAAGGGAGATGTACCATCGTGCTAATGACTGTGAGGAAGGCTTTCACAAAACGCAATATCCATTTGGACAACGATCCTGCTAAAGTAGGGAATCGTGTTTAATGTGAATACGTATTTAAAGCCAAGATCCAACATTCCGTTCCACGGAGAAATGTCAAGATTATGGAAGCTGGTGTTATAATTTGAGCAGAATTGAGACCACAGGTCTCACCCTGGCCACACTGCATCTCTGCCCCATCCCCACCATTCCCTAATGCTGAGCTGCCTTGCTTTTAACTTTCTCTCCACCTAGAACACTCTCTTTTCATGGTAAGCCATGGGAAGATCCCAAGACCCTTCGAGACTCAGTGCGGATAGATACCATTGACACTACAAAGTCTCTGTGGACCCCGACTTTGAAGTGAGCACCTTCTTTTTCTGAAGCTCTTTGAACTTCTATGGGGAAAGTGTCACTTCCTGGCTCCCATCTGAGTTTCTAAATGTACACGTCTCAGCTTGTCACGTAGACTGTATGATTTTAAAGGGTCAAGTTCCCTGTTCTGGTTTTCCTCATAGCGCCTAGTATTCTACGCCCAGGAGGTGTTCCCACTTGTTGGTTTTAAAGCGATACGGAATCCACGGCACGTCTCGTCGACACCAGATGGACAGAAATACTAAGGGTGTGGGAAGAGAGTAGAGGTGAGTGGCGGGCAGGTCTTTCCCTGATGGGACTTACCGGACTGTAGAGTATTTTTAGCTCTACACATGTTCTCCCAACACACCTGGGTATCTGTTTGCTTCTCTTATGTCCGAGAGATGGTGCTTTGGGGAGAGAGGGGATTTGGTGGGGGAGAGACCAGGAAGAGGGTGAGGGGTGGGTGGGTTCTGCGCCTGGTGTAGGGGTATGAGATCCCCAAGTGGGAAGTCTCTTCGTGGACATCGGTGAGACTCTGAGTACAGGTTTGGCTGCTCTGGGGCCCAGAGCCGGGGGCAGAGGGAGGCACATAGCCCTGCACCACTGGGAAAGCGGACTGCTGTCTTTAGTTTTGTTTTCTGCACAGGGGTCTTCCCTCGAGCGGAAGCAGAAGCCACCAGGTGGCTTTCTCCTGAAGGCTTCGTGGGAGAGGAAAGGAAAGGCAGGTACTGCAGATGATGCTGTGGGAGGGAGCCTGGGGGCATGGCCCCGTGGAGACTGCCAGAAATTATGAAACCCTCTGAAGGGGGTGGAGGTTTTGCTCTTACCAACGGGCCATGTGAGTTGCAATCAGTATTTATCACTAAATTCTGGGGAAAACTCATATGCAGGTCAAGAACCTGAAGCTCTCAGCTATGGTATGGGCCACAGAAGGAGGCCCCTTGGCCCAACAGAGCATTTAATCACAATGCTCTGAGGGACAGGGACTTTTCTAAGGGCTGTGAGGGAGTATCCTCTGAGGAAGGAGTGCACCTCTGGAGAAAAGAAACACAAGCCTCCTAAAGAAGCAATTCCTGGTAAGGAATTCCAAGGTTGGAAAGGGCAGGGCACCAAACCCCGGGAAGTGACCACCCCGGAGAGGCTTCCTTTCCTCCCGGAATTCTCAAGAAGAAGTTACAACATGGCGGCTAACATGGTCCGGGGCAGAGCCCGGCCCTGGGAACGGAGGGCCCCAAGGGTCCAGCCCCCCATGCGCTCCAGAACCTGTAGAAAGTGAGGAGGCTTGGGGATCCTCTCCCTGGCATGGTGGGCCAGACCCGAGGAAGGAGGACATCAAAGATGCGGCTGTGACACAGGCCCAGGCGACGCCAGCAAGCAGAGCTGCCGGGGCAAGTGGAACAGGAACAGTAGGCCCGCGGGCCCGCACGAGTCACAGCCCCTGGATGGACAGAGAAGGAGAGAGATGAGGGACCCCCTGCCTCCGGGAGGCTGGGGAGAGCTAGGGAGACACGGGAGAGAAGACTAGCTGCTGGGGAAACTGGTTGCTTTATAGACTGGAGCTCCCTGGGCCATTTCAAAATAATGGTGCCATTAGTTTTTATTCTCAGTTTACAAACAGGGAAACTGAGGCTCAAAGCATAGATGGGATGTGGCCTTACAACAAGTAGATTGGAAGAAGTGGGCTTCAGCTCAGGGCTTCTAACTCGTTTGGTGCTCCTTCTTTGGAATTCACAGAAAATGACCGCGGCGGGAGCACGACCCTGAGATTCCACTGGAACACGGTCCATTCTTCTGGGGTTCGTTGATCGATCCAGAAGACAGTGGCTCCTCCAATTTACAGTCTTTGAAGCACTTTCCCAAACCTCTCTCCCGTTTGTCCTCTGCTAAGGATACCAGCAGGACTCAGAGATGGCGCCATCTGCGGTGACACAGGAGGGCTTCTGGCAAATAGTTCCCACCTTGGGTAGTGACTTCGGTCCTGGCTTCTTGACACAGCTACATGTTCTTCCAGCGTACGCTCCGCGCAGCCAGTGCTCAACCTGGCAGATGCCGCACACTTCCTCCTGAGACCTGCCCATGACAGATACTTTTTCTCCAATGGAGAAGGAAAGGATTCTAAAAGGCATGCTTTATCTTTTTGCTTCGTTAATTTTTTTTAAAATAGACATTTAATTCCTATGTCATAAAATTTACCCTTTAAAGGGTTCAGTGGTTTTTGGTCTATTAACAAAGGTGTAAAACCATCATTACTGTCTAATTCCAGAACATTTTCATCTCCTCCCTCCCCAAGGAAACCCCAGGACCGTTAGCGGTCACTGCCTTTCCCCACCTTCCCCCCAGTTCTGGGCAATGGATTTGCCTATTCTGCACATTTCATAAATGGAATCATATACAACATGTGGGCTTTGGCGGGCTAGCTTCTTTCACTTAGCCTAATGTGTCTGAGACTCATCCACGTTGTAGCCTGTGTCAGTGGTGCCAAATAGGATTTTGTTGTATGGACGTACCACATGCCGTTTATCCATTCATCAGGTGGTTGATATTGAGTTTGTCCCGCTTCTTGGCTATCATGACTAATGCCGCTGTGAACATTCACGTGCACGTTTTTGTATGGATGCTCTATTTTTAGTTCTCTTGGGTATGTCCCCAGGAGTGGAATTGCTGGGTCATACGGTAACTTCACGTTTGACCCTCTGAGGAACTGCCAGATTGTTTTCCACAGCAGCTGCACCGTTCTACGTTCCCTCCAGCCATGGGCAAGGGTTCCAGTTTCTCCACAGCTTCCCCTAACACTTGTTACTGTCCACCTTTTGATTACAGCCATTTTAGTGGAAGGTGAATACTTTCTGAAACTACAGTGTTTTCTGCATCCAAAAAGATTTGGATTTTAGGGGTGCCTGGATGGCTCAGTTGGCCGAGTGTCTGACTCTTGATTCTGGCTCAGGTCATGATCTCAGGGTCATGGAATCGGGCCCCATGTTGGGCTCTGTGCTTGGCTCGGAATCTGCTTGAGATTCTCCCTCTTACTCTCCAAATAAATAAATAAAATCCTTTAAAAAGAACTTGGATTTTAGAAAATGGCGCCCTGACGTACAGGCCTTCATCCCTTATCACCAACATTTTTTCCCACTCTGGCTCAAAGGGAGAAAATTCCTCTGGTAGGAAAGTGCAGGGTGTCCACTATAACCACGGGCAGGCTACCCCTGTCTCCTGCTTGGTCTTCTCAATAAGCAGAATTCCTCCCCAGGGGTGAGCCACACGCATTCCACAAAAGATGTGGGAATGGAACTTTTTGTTTTCTACAGATATCAGTTCTGAAGGCCGTAATCCAGAAATGTTTCCATCAGTGGTTGATGATCACAATATATGCAATATGTAACACTCAAAACCATTTCTACATGTTAAGAATGAATTGATGCTTGGGGCGCCTGGGTGGCTCAGTTGTTAAGCGTCTGCCTTCGGCTCAGGTCATGGTCCCAGGGTCCTGGGATCGAGCCCCGCATCGGGCTCCCTGCTCCGCGGGAAGCCTGCTTCTCCCTCTCCCGCTCCCCCTGCTTGTGTTCCTGCTCTCGCTGTGTCTCTCTCTGTCAAATAAATAAATAAAATCTTAAAAAAAAATGAATTGATGCTTAGCCACGGAAATACTGTTGTCCCAGCAATTGCTTGGAGCTAGCTCTCTCACTCACACCTCACGTCTAGTTTATATCCACACCATCCCCGAGGAATAAGCTGTGGCCCAGAGAGTGTGGCCTGCTCAGGACCATAGAGCCACCGGCACTGGCTCATGGTGAAGCCAAGAGAAGCTCAGAGAAGGGTGTTCTTCCTCCTGGGGAAACTTGGGACTCTTGGGACCAGAAGGTCAATGCTGCAGTTAGGAGTGAGGATTATAGAGTCAGAATAGATGGAGGTCCCCCTCTCAGTGCTACCAGTGCCTGCTTGAGAGTGTGCTGTTTGATTTCTTTGAGCCTCAGTTCCCCCACCTATAAAAGGGAGAGCATGGTGATAACACCTCCTTTACAGGACTGTTAAATGGGAAGATTCACACTGACAGCTGAGCTGAATGCTAGGTACATGGTAAATGCTTGGGGATAACAGTTAGTTACTACCATTATTATTAGTAGTAGTAGTAGTATTAACCGGCCTGTCTCCCAAACTCCACTCGAATTCCCTCTACACAATCCAATGCTCATTCAGACTCTGGCTACCCAAGAAGATGGAGGACTACTTTTCCTAGACAGCCATTCCATTTTCAGGCAGAGCTCATTTTTGGAAATATCTTCGTGTTGAGCAGAAATCTGCCTGTCTCTAGCGTCTTCCATGGGTAAGGCTGCCCGATTTAGCAGGTGAAAATACAGAATGCCCATGCAATATCTGGGACACACTTACACTAAAACGTTATTTGTTGTTTATCCGAAATTCAAATTTAACTGGGTATCCTATATTTTATCTGGCAACCATTTAGTCAGACATCTGAGGGCAACATGGAACAAGTCTACGCACATCTTTTACTTGACAGATTTCCTCCAATTCCTTCAACCAAATCTCATACATCAAATGGTTCTTGCTTTCCCACCCCCTCATCCCCCATTATCTTCTTTGGACTAGACTGCTAGGCATCTTTTACAGCACACAAGGATAGCCTGATGAGGACAGAGTATGACCACCTCCCTTGTCCTAAACTGTATACTTCTATTAACACATCTTGGTTTTTATTTTTGAGCAGCCACATGGCACTTCCGACTCCTGATAAGCTAGTATCACCAACCAGCCAAGTGCAATGTCAATATGTATGTGTGGCTGCCTTCATTGAGACTCAGGGTGGTGAGGAATGGCAAAATCCAGGAATCCTGGTGTCCTGGGTAACAACAAAACCCCAAACCCTCACACTTCACCAGCACAGTTCCAGAATACACGTCAACCATGCACCACTACCCGAAATGAACCCGCCTCTGGGGGACCCTAGGACTCCATCAGCAGGAAGGCTAGAAGTTCTTGAGTTAGAGGCCTGCCCACCTGTTTTCCTGGGTTGAGAAGATGCTCTTGTGTTAGTGTCCTGAGGCAGCAGGCCTCGGGTGGAGGAGTTGGTTTTGGGAGCTGGGAGAGCCTGGGGCACAGACTGGCAGGGAGTGGATTCAGAGCTGGGCTTCGGGGTGGATCCGGGGCTGGGCTGCGGGGTGGATCTGGGGCTGGGCTGTGGGGTGGATCCGGGGCTGGGCTGCTGCGGGGTGGACTCGGAGCTGGCGTTCTGTGGCGTGGATTCGGAGCTGGCCCGCAGTGAGGTGGAGCCATGGCGTCTGGACTCCGGCTTCTTCCTTTTGCCCTTCCTCATGGTGGGTTCTCTTCACCTAAACGTGGACCTACATGGAGCTGCCTAATCTTCCGGCTCCCTCCTAGAGGGGCCGTTTGCCCCTGCCCTGGGGGAAGGCTCTGGCCTCGGGATGGACCTAAGTCCCACAGAGAACTGTCACCTCCACCCCCCCACCCCCCCCACCCCCCACCCCGTGAGGTCACAAAAGCCAGGGTGGTTCCTATGGCAGGGCTCTGGGGACAGTCTTCTCTGCCCACACCAGCCTGCTGTCCTCCGGCCTCCCCAGCGACTGGGATGGGCGGAAGGCTGCTGCTGGGCCCTCAGGGACCTGGGTAGGCCTGGCCACAGGGATGGTGACATCCTGGACCCCCACGATGCTGCGACCAGAGCGCCTCCTTCAGGCACCTCTCTACTGGTGCGTTCCTGGGTCCCTATGTGCTCTCTGTTTCACTCTTAGACACCCTGGCTGTGACGCTCAGCTCTGTCACCGGCTTCCACATACCAAAAACCAACAAACGACTTCACCATGCATTCTGTGAGTTTTAGGCGCTTTACTGAAGATTTGGGGGTCCATGGGAGGTCCACGGCTTCTCCCATTTCAGCTGTTCCCTCCTCACTCAGAAGATCTTAAAGTAGCTCCAAAACCTGCCCTCCCCACTGTGGGAAGGGGCTGGGGACCCCCAACTTTGATAGGAACCCTTGCTTTTGGCAAAAGGATTTCCCCTATAAGCATAACAGTTGTTTGGAAAACTACACTTTCTTTGAACTCAGTTGCGGCAACAACAGACTACCCCTCAAACCCCAAACTCGTCGGGTCAATTAGGGGACTATGAATATTTCGTGAAGGTAAAAATATGATTTTCCTTTCAGGATGGAAGTGGATAAGACATTTTTAAAAGACAGCCCTAAACTTCACACTGTGACTGCAACACAGAATGTGTTCACATTAGAAGACTCTACCTCCACCATAAATGCATCGCTAGGTGGGTGAGTATTCAGCTGTGAACCCTGTGCTCTTGGGTGGGGGCAGTAATGCTCTTGGCCCAGGATAGGGTCTAGGGCAGACATTGCTAGAAGGCACCTCCACGCCAGACCAGACCCGATGTGAAATGTAAAATGACAGAAAATATTTTCGGGATTCTAGAGCCTGAAAAGACCTTAATGATTCTCTTTTTGCAGAAGAGAAACTGAGGTTTAGGGAAGTTAAATCACCTTCCAAGATCACAGGACTGGTTGGAAGCATCGACAGGGCTAAGTTCCCATTCAAGGCTCTTTCATTTCATGGTTCCAGAAGGCAATAGGGTATCAGATAATTATACAGGTCTTAAAAATCAATGGGCTAAAAAAAAATCCCTTGAGTGAGAAGACTGAATTCCTTAAAAAAAGGCACCAAGGATTAGCAGTGGAAGATAGCTCAGATCAATAAAGTCGGATTGAATTCGGTTGACCATCAGCACAAGGAGGTTCAAGGAGCAGGTGAATCTACAAGAAGGTGGTAATTCTCTCAAGTTAAGAGCAATGGATCCCTCTCCGGGAGTCAACTTAGAATCAGAGAGACCAGAAACCTGGGTCAGGGACTCTGTCCAGATTTAGCAGACAGTTCAGGAACTCCGAAGGCATTTATCTCTGCAAAATTAGATTTTCAGACACCAATGGGCTTTTGCCTGGGGCTTCAACCTGATTTATATCAGAGGTTCTCAACCTCAGCTCTATGGACACTTGAGGCCGGATAAATCCTTGCTGTCTGAGCCGGATAATTCTCCTGTGTGTTGTAGGAAGTTTAGCAGCATCACCCACCCCACCCCGCTGTGGCAATCAAAAAGGTCTACAGACAATGCTAAATGTCTCCAGGTGTGTGTGTGTGTGTGTGTGTGTGTGTGTGTGTGTGTGTGTGTGAAAATTGCCCCTGGTTGAGAACCACTGGTTTAAATGAATTAGATAAGGGGCGAACACTCATGGGTAGTATTTCCTGGTAGAGATGAAAGGAATGTGTCATTTCACACCAAGGAGCCAAGTGGCACAGAAAACAGGTCCCTGTTCCTGGGGAGAGCTGTGGAAGGAACACAGAGGCTCAGGCTTCGGGAGGAGCGGGGAGTTTTTCTATGGCAGTGCAGAAAAATATGGGTGGATTCTTTTGTAAGGGTGGCCCCAAGAAGCAGGGAGAGGGCCCTCGTGGAGTGAGAGGTTGGCCCAGAGGGATGAGGAAGAACGGCACTGTGATACTTTGCCAGAAGGTCTTCCTTGGCCCCCTCTGCCTTCTGGCTGGAGCCCAAGTTCCCGGCTGGAAGTCTGACTCCTCTATAACACGGTCACAGACCAGTGTCCCAGGTGTACCGACCACCTCGCCGCCACCTTGTCCAGTTCTTGCCAGCTATGAGCGCCGAGGCTTGCCTTCCTCCATTTGTGAAAGCCCTTCCCCTCTACCAGGCCCCTCTCTCTCTGTCAAAACACCTCCCATCGTCGAGATCCATCTCAAGTGGACCCATCTCCTCATACAGCCCTTCTTCAGATCCCCAACTGGAAGTGACCCCTCCTTCCCTGAGCCCCAGATCATATATTGCGTGGTGTTAGAGTGATGTTTCTCCTGTCCTCTCTCGAGTTCCCTACTCCCAGACTGTGAATACCCTGGAGGGCCCAAGTCCAGAGAAGAGGCTCAACACAAGCTTCTTGAAGGTGAGGGTAGGAGGACAAAGCAGGAAACCACCGAAGGCAGGGTGAGCATGGAAGATCAGGGCCAAGGTACCTCACAGACTGCATCACTTAAGGGGTTATTTTCAAAGATGGACTGGGGTTTTCTGGCCTTAGCTGAGGATCACGGAACAGTCCACAGGCAAGGGGCTCTCCTACTCGACCAGGGAGCCACAGAACGATCTCGTGCGCTATTTGTGAGAAGATGGAGTCTAAGGGGAGGGAGGCGAAGTCAGGATAAGGTTCTGAGGGTGTGAAAATCCACACCCAGTGGTTCTGGCCCTCTGGCTGTGTCCAGGGCGCCAACAGCAAGCGTGTCAACATTTGTCCTGAAGCTCGCATCTTACAGCTGGATGACACCTCAGACACCAGCTGGCCCTCGGCCCCCACCTGTCAGGAAAGGTAACTAGTCCTCAGAGGGGACAACCTTCTCTGGTCACCAATAGGAGGGTGGCAGAGCTTTGGGCAACTGGGTGTTGGAACTCCCTGCCCAGAGCGTTTCCTTCCCTCCCTCTGGAGGGGACTTCCAGAGACAGAGCCTCCCGGTGCTCATTCCAGAGCCCATTGTCCAGGGCTCTAGACCCACAGATTAACCCTCTGGGGCCACAGGCCTGGATTCCTTGATAGGCAAGCTCTCAAGTGCTGAGTAGGAATTCTGACACAGAACTTCCTCCAGAGCATAGTTGTGAGGATTAGACGTGAAAAGCCCTTAGAACAGTGCCTGCCTCACACCGGGCAGGTTTTTATTGTAAATTATGATTCCCTTGGAGGAGAAGCCTACAGAACCAAGCAAAGAATAAGTGCATGTGGAAAAGAGGGAGTGGGCCTGGGTCCTACAAAGTCCCATATCTGTACCTTGCAAAAGTGTGATTCAGAGTTCAGGGCAGGGGTGGGGGGGAAGGGCCTGGGGCGGGGGTGGGGTGGGGTGGGTGGGAAGTGTAACTCTACCACTTAAATACATTTGAACACTTTTGACCAGAGATTGCCCCAGTGAGCACACCTGGGGTGAGAAATCTAATTAGTCTTCACCCAAACCAGGAGGGGGACCGTGACATGGGGGATCTGTCCACTCCCCTGGACCAGGATGGCACTCCCTCCGTCCTTGCAGCCCTCCCCCGCCCCCGCCCGCTCTCGGGCCCCTCACCATCCGTCTGCGTCTCCTGATCCACTAGCGGGACGCAGCCCCGCTCCCTGGCACTGTGCCCTCGGCTGGCGGCGGGCTGGATGTCCAGGGTGCAGTCGGAGCGGCTGGGGCTGAACACGGCCGTGTGCACCTCCACCGAGGGGCTGTGCGGCGCGAAGGCGCCGCAGAGCAGGGTCTCCATGCGGCGGCGCGCCTCGGCCTCCTCCTCCGGCCGCGGCTGCACGATGATGCCGACGAGCGCGGCGGGCGGCCGGCCGTCCCGCGCGTGCACCTGCTGCAGGAGCAGCTGCAGCCGCGGCAGGTTGGAGCGCAGCGCCGACGCGCGGCACAGCACCAGGAGCAGCCGGGCGCTGTGCTCGGGCGGCGCGGGCGGCGGGCGGCGATCCCGGCATCCGGCCGCCGGCTCCTCGGTCGCCTCGCAGCCGGAGCTCTCAGACGGAGCCGGGGCCGCCCTGCACTCGCACGCGGCCTGGCACCGGTCGCGCGGCCTCTCCTCCGTGCAGCGCCCGGACTTGGCGGCCGGGCAGTCGGCGCTCAGCCGCAAGCTGTCGCCGGGACGCTTGCGCCGCCGCGTGGCGCAGTTGCCGGAGCTGCTGTGGCCGCTCGTGGCTCGGGTGGACGAGGGCCCGGCGGAATGATCGTCCGGGGCCTGCAGGGTCAGGCTGCGCTCATCCCGCTTCCAGAGCTCGCCGAACAGCAGTATCTGGCCGTGGCCCTCGACGGGCTGCGGGGCCCTGGAGGGCCCGGCCCCAGGCTCCATGTCCGGTCCGGCTCTCTTGCCCCTCTGCGCCCCGGGCCGCCGCTGGCCACGGGACAAGGGGCCCTTCCCTGGAGCATGTCACAATACCCCTGCGCCCTACCTCTTCCTGTCCTGACCCAGGGCCTCCGCCCTCTATTTTTTTGGAAATCTTCCAACATAGGGAAGTCGCAGCTGCAAAGCCCACGGGCGCTTAGTTTCTCTTGTCATTTTGTATGTCTTTGGGGTCAAAAGAGCAGATCCTTTTATCTCGGGGATGGATCATTATGCCTAAACCTCCAAGTAAAACAGATTTTTATGCACCTTGCAGATATTTAAAAAGCAGTGAAAAAATAATCATAAAAAGCAGTGGATCCGGATGCTCACTGCACCTGGGACATTTGAAAAGCCGTGAGGACCAGAGAGACCAGTTCGGGGTGGCCGAGCCTGGGAGGCCGGCCTTGCTCGGGCTCAGCCCGGCTACTCTCTGGATGACCTGGGAGCCAGGGTCCTGGTTCTAGCCTGAACTGCTTGGGCTACGGGAGATGGTTTGGGGGTCCCCTCGGGTCTCCTATGGATATGTATTTGAAAAATCCCGTCTTTTCCTCCCGTGTTTCTCCTTTGCTCCTCACACAGAACTGCATTCTGACGCTTCTGGTCACCAAATCTGTGTGTTTTTTCCCCACATGGGGCAATTCTGTGACACCAGCTCGGAGTCCTACCATTTAACTCAATTCTGACACAATCTTCTAGAGATAGCATCAGATCCCACAGATCAGGGGCGGTGTCCCACAAGACTGCCCCCCACCTTCAGATGCCAATTACGAGTCCAGGATGTTACCTGTGCTTCTGACCCATCGGCTGTAAATCTGAGATCCCATAGTCCCCTCCCCAGGTTCAACTGATTTGCTGTGAATGGCTCACAGAACTCAGGAAAACAGTTTACTTACTGTTGACCAGTTTATTATCAAAGGATATAGAAGGGGCGCCTGGGTGGCTCAGTCGGTTAAGCGTCTGCCTTCGGCTCAGGTCATGATCCCGGGGTCCTGGGATCGAGCCCCCACTTGGGGCTCCTTGCTCCGTGGGGAGTCTGCTTCTGCCTCTCCCTCTGAGCCTCCCCCTGCTTGTGTGCTCTCTCTCTCACTCTCAGAGAAAAATCTTTGGGGAAAAAAAAAAAACAACTTATAGAAGACACAGGTGAGCATCCAGATGGAAGAAATGCACAGGGCAAGGTGTTGTGGGAAGGGGTGCGGAGCTTTCATCCCACTTCTGGGCACACCATTCTCCCTGAACGGAATTCCACACGTTCACCAACCTGGGAGCTTTCCGAACTCCAACACTATTGCGATTTTGTGGAGGCTTTCTCATGTAGGCATGATCAAGTATTAACTCCATCTCCAGCCCCCCGCCCCTCTCTAGAGGATGGGAGATGGGGCTGAAAAATCCCAAATTTTTAATCATGGCGTGGTCTTTCTTGTGACCAGCCCCCATCCAGGAGCCCGCTTCATTAGAACAGAAATCACCTGCAGAATCACCTCATTAGAACAAAAGCCACTCCCGTCACCCAGGAAATCCCACAGGATTTGGGAGCTCCTTGTCAGGGACAGAGTCAATGACCAAATATTAGAATGAAAGATGCTCCCAGCGCTCTTTTCACTTAAGAAATTACAAGGGTTTCAAGGAACTGGAGGCAGAGACCAATAGGTACCTCACAGGGCACCAAAGTGCCAGAAAGATCTTTAGCAAAACCAAACAAAAAAAGCATTAAAAACTCTTTCTATGCCCTGGGGAGGTGGGACAGAGGTATTCAAGAGAGCCACAGTGACTAGAATTTGATGGCGGGAAAATTTTTCCCTTTGTTAATTTTTTTTTAAAGGAGCTCTATTAGGTTGTTTAAAATTATTTTAAAAAATGTAAAAATTAAAGACTCTGAAAAGCAAGCTGTCCATCAGAAGGCTCCCCACCCCCCTGAGCTGAGATCCTGCTGAAAGCTGCAGGATCCCACCGGTCAGGGAATTTGGGAAGATGGGGTAAAGGTAGAACACCCCCACAGCTCTGCAGAAGCAGGGTGGACAGTGTTGAGGGACTCCCCTTGTCCCGGTTTTTCTGCCTTGGACCAGAGACTCAGCTCACCTTCCATCTGGATGGTGTTGGTAAGAACACTTCTAGCCCCTTCCCCCTTCCTCAGCACATCGGAAAGGTCAGAGTCAGGGAACTCATGGGTGACCTTTCCCTAGGGTGCCGGGTCACTGTGTTATAAACTGATGCTAGTTTCATGCAGGATGAATCAGACCTGCCCACCCGGCCACACAGGTGTCCGTTCACCTTTCCACAGGCAGACCCGAGTGTGGGAGCCTTTTTTTTTTTTTAAGATTTTATTTATTTATTTGAGAGAGAGAGAGTGAGCACAAATGTGGGGGTGGGGAGGGAAGGTAAAGGGAAAAGGAGAAGCAGACTCCCCACTGAGCAGGGAGCCCACGGGGCTCGATCCCAGGACCCCAATATCATGACCCGAGCCAAAGGCAGATGCTTAATCGACTGAGCCACCCAAGCGCCCCTGAGTGTGGAAGTCTTAAGATTTGGATTACCGTGGTTGGAAGGAGGTCCTGCCTGGGCTTGGCCTGAACTTTTTTTTTTTTTTAAGATTTTATTTATTTATTTGAAAGACAGAGAGTGAGTGAGGGAGAGAGCATGAGCAGGGGGGAGGGGGAGAAGCAGACTTCCTGCTGAGCAGGGAGCCTGACATGGCGCTCCATCCCAGAGCCAAAGGCAGTCTCCTAACCAACTGAGCCATCCAGGTACCCTTTGACCTGCACTTTCTAAACCAGCTTTATCAAGTTCTGAACTGGGGAGGACCAGTTAGGAAGGACTAGATGTCCCAGGCTCCCAAAAGGTAGATTTGAACTGAACTCTAAGGAGAGAACGGTGCTTCCCTCTCCTGCCCTGTCTCCCTTGACTGGGCGTGAAAGCAGCCCAAGGCTGCCAGGGGCAGGGCGATGCTGTGTTCCTCACCCTCAGTTCACCGAGTCAGACAGTTATCAGAGGACCCTCGTATTTAACTGTCTGCCATGGTGGGCTGTCCTCCATCAGAAGGCTAAGGCTGAGGTGCCACTGACAAAGGTCCCACCTACGTCCCACCTAAGCCACACCCCTGGGCACAGTGAAGACGCAGCTTGGGGAGGGGAGCAGGGAGGTGGCCGGGCTACCAGCTTCAGGTGACTTTACAGAGTAAAAGGATGAAGCTGGAGTCCAGGCCTCCCTAGCAGCCCTTCTGGGGGATTTTTTTTTTTTTTTCTGGGGGGAGAGAGACTTATGGCAGAAGTGGCCCTAAAGGTGGGGGCTGGATGTACAAGTGTTCAAAGTGAATTCTAAGACTCCCAAGCATACACTCTGG